GTGCAAACTAAATTCAGAGTCACGTTTACTTTTTAAAAGGCAAACATCATAACTTATAGCCTTTGATCCATCTTGCAGGTCAGCTTGCTGCAGCAGTAATACCTCCAATCAAGGAGTTAAAGTCCAGTATCCTCTTAACACAGCTCTGTAGAGTTGGTTGATTGGTTGGCTTTTTCTTTATTCCCTGAGTCAACATTTAATAACCAAGTGCCTGGCTGACCTCGCCATTAAATAAGTTCTCTAATGTATACGTCTTGGTCCCTAACACTATTAAATGCCACTTGAGCAAAAGAAAATATCAAATTAATTTTTAATTTCAGTCTTTCAAATAATAAACATTTGTGACTCCCTTCCTGCTCATTTCGCCCTGTGCTGCTTTACTGTATCCAGTTATGTTCACAGCTTTTCATCATTTAGCCATTTAACAAAATCTTTGTGGAGTTACAAAATCCATTAATGTGCTAGAAAGCTGGCATATTTGATATCCAGATATACAGTAGCTAAATAGCAACATCTCACTCCTGAAATTTCCCATCAAGGAAACTCAGGTGGCATTTAGGGTAAAAAGGCTAGAAGTAGTTAATGGTTTTCTAATAAACTAATATGCCCAATCTATCTCTCAATTCTGTCTCACTTTTTTCTTCTATTCTTGGGATAATTTCTCATTAGAGACAACATACGCTCCAACTCAGTTCCTGCAGTTTCACTCTCAACTTACTTGTGTGTGATGTGGGTTAATTTTTTTAAAATATGATTTATTTCAACAGTATTTCCTTCCCTACTCAAGATTGGTCTTTGCCTCTTTACATGCAAATAGAAAAGATATTAAAAGACATGTAGCATAGTCATGGGACATGGAAGGATGCTTCAGGAATACAAGCAAGTCATTCTCATCCTTTAAGAATGTGATGAGAGTTAAAAGCAATGAGTTAAAAGTATGAATCAGTTTCTCACTTGCTCCCTGAGATCCCCAAGATAGTTTGTGGGATCCCAACCCAAATGGGCCTATTTCCTGGTTAGAGCTACAAGGAAACAATACTCTACAGAAGAAAGCATGTCTTGGAAGGAGGAGAATAACTCCTGTGAGGCCGAGAGTGGAATAGAAGTGTCAGAGAAAGCCACCAGGCCTGAAGGGCCACATGGAGAGGAAGAAGAATGTGTTCATAGCAAGTTTCACAGAATGACAACCAAGGACCAGGCAGAGAGACCAGGATGTTTCAGAGGATGTCTGTGAGGAGAGATAGCACTGGGATCAGATGGGGCCCATCCAGTGCCTTGGGCTGGTGAGCTCGGGCAAAAGCCTCAGGGTAAAAGATGGGAATTCCGAATTGGCTGCAGTTAAATTTCTCCCACCTCTGTGGATGGAGACCCAAAGTAATAATTACGGTTGCAGAAAAATAAAGATATTTATTATGCACATCTGTTTTTGCGAGCAGAGATGTATAACGGAGACACCTGGCTGTATTCTATGTTGGGACAGGCAGCTCACATTCGAAGTTAGGAAATTAGAAGCAATAGTTCCTAGGTTTGTTTGAACCCTAACAATAGCATTATGGACAGAGCCTCCCTAGGAATCTCATGGACAATTGTTGAAGCATGACTGGAATCCAACTTCAAAACTGTGTTTGACTATAATTAATGGATATTTTTTACATTTCCTTCTTTTTGAGGTTGTCAGTGAAGCTCTTTAATGCAGACTCTACACTCGGCTGGTCTAACATGCTCCCAGTTTCCCTCGCTTGTTTCCTGCCCCTGGGAAACCTTTCAAGCCTCATTATGACCTATGGAGTCTGAGCCCAGAAAACCACCTCTGCTTCCAGTTGGGGTCCTCCTCTGGTCTTCATTTCTCCCAAGTAACATCAGGAACAGGAAATCCTTGAGATTCTAGGACTTATGGATTGCTCTGAGAGCCCCTTGAACCATCAGGAAAGCATATTTCTTTTAGAAATGTGATTCTCAAAATCCCCATGGAATATGAGTACATTCTAGACCTGAGGTTATAGGAATGTGAGTGTAAAATGCTTTCTAACAGTAAACAGTACGGAGATTGCATCTAAGACTTTGTATCTTTCTTCTTGTAATGCCAATTTCCTTCATCAGATTCTTCTTCGCCCAAAAAAGTTTTTGTTATTTCATGAGTTTACCAGTATTAGCTCTTTATGAAATCTTACATATTTCTATAACATATTGGGGAAGAACATATATTTGAATTTAAATTAATTTAAATGGATCTAGGAAAAGGGGGTGTGGGGACAAAAGGAGTCCCTGGGCAGCTATGGAACACAAATTCGGTAGGGGCCCAGACAATTAAAGAGCAGAAAAGCTCGTAAGACATCTGTATCCCTTGGAATTAAGCAGACTAAAATTTCCAAATTATCATCTCTCACTCCATTTTTCTTTTTTTTTTCCTTTTTTTTAAAAAATTTATTTATTTATTTATTTTATGGTGACATTGGTTAACGAAATCCAATAAGTTTCATCTGTACACTTTAACAGTAAGGCATATACATATTTATACTGTCTGTTCACCTCCCATAGTTAGATTTCTTTCTGTCACCACACATTTGACCCCCTTTACCCCATATACCTCTTCATTTTTCAAAATTGTGGTATGTTACTGTATTGTCAGAGATCTCGAAAGAAGCAGAACCAGTGGAATGTGTATAGAGATAGAGAAATATATTTAAAGAAATTGGTTCATACAATCATTGAGGCTGGCAAGTTCAAAATCTGCAGAGTGGGCCAGCAAGCTGGAGATCCCGAGAAAAGTTGATGTTGCAGTTTGAGTCCAAATGCAGTCTCTCCTGGGCACCTCTGTCTTTTATCTCTTAAGGCCTTCAACTGATTAGATGAGGCTCGCCCACATTAAGGAGAGTAATCTGCTTTCCTCAAAGTCTATTGTTTTAAATATTAATCTCATATAAAAAAATACCTTCACAGTGACATTTAGACTTGTGTTTGACCAAATATCTGGATACCATGGCCTAGCAAAATTGGTACATAAAATGAACCATCACAATTATCTTTTTGCTTCTCTCATTTGTCAGACTCTTCATGATCACGTATTTATGGGATAGCTACTGATCATACTGGAGGTGGTTATTGTTACCACTTAACACAGTTGTTTTGACCATCAGCCACATGTCTGACTTCTCTCATTTGTCAGACTCTTCATGATCACCTGTTTATGGGATAGCTACTGGTCATACTGGAGGTGGTTATTGTTACCACTTAACACAATTGTTTTGACTGTCAGCTGCACCACTATATATTATAATTCATGATGAGCATGAATGACAATACAATAACATCTTTGACACTAGGAAAATATCAAAGGACCAGGACTACTCCTCTAGATTTCAAGAAGCCAGTTGGCTGAGGCAGTGAGGAACAATTCTGTTCCTACACAGGATGATCCTACTTCAAATTCCTGGACTGGTTTTATACAGAGAGGTCTTATGCTGGGAGCCAGTCTACAAAGGAACAGTGGGGAAAAATTGCTGCAGCATGATGAAATTAACAGCTTCCCTTCACCGCTACAAAAGGATCACCAGTTGACTTGCAAGTTCAGCAACACTAATATAGCTCAGCTGGCTTGATGTCACTAAGAATTCACCCCAAGCTGGAACAGGTCTAGGTCTAGAGTTCGAGAGTTTAATACCCTCAAACTCGAATCTAGATTACTACCCCTGTAGCTCAGGCCTGCAAACACCTGGAAGAAGGGATTAATTACTTCTGCGTCTGTGTTTTGGTTGCACTTACATACAGCACTTATTACCCAGGCTTATAGTTACAGGCATACCTTGGAGATATTGTGGGTTCTGTTCCAGACCACCACAATAAAGCAAGTCATAATCTTCTTGCTGGTGGGGGGTCTCGCCTTCATTTTGTAAAAAAATGCAACTTTTGTGAAGCGCAATACAGTGGAATAAAATGAGTTATGCCTGTATTTTATAAATCTTTCTCTCCTAACTAAGTAACTAGAAACCAGTCTCACTGAAATATGTATCTCCAATACCTGGCACTTACAAGGCATTTGCTAAATGTTTGTTGAAAGAAATGGAAATGAATTATTGAAAATCAGTGTCTATGAATTGCTTTTATAGCCTACCTCATCTCTGCTAGGCACATAAAATTTTTTATTGGTACAGAAGCCAATAAAATCACGTGTTTTTGTGATACAAATTTTTTTTTCTGCAAGAACTAATATTTCCCACTGAGAAGCAATGCAAGGCTTTGTTTTCATGTATTAGTATGGGTTTTCTGTGCACATATCACTGCTTAATGATTTGGTTGGGCCAAATCAGACTTATGTGCAAAGTGACAAAAGAATACTTCCAGAGGGTGGGATTATGTGTGCCCAACACTAACTCAGTTTAAAAAGCCATTTATCAATATGAAAGTATTTCAGCGTAGTCTTGTTCCATTCGTTTTCAAGAAAATTTCTGCCAAATACCTAATTGCCATAATTTGTCAGTTTTTCTTTAAATAAATATGGTTTTCCATGAAAAAACCAGCCAGTGCATCTCACATCTCAAACAATCACACAAGTGCTTCTCCTCAATAACACATAAATTGGAAGTATCAGTGGATATTTGGGTCAGCTAAGGTGATGCTGCTGTAGGCCCCTTATACAGTAGTCCCTCCTTATCCACAGTTTCACTGTTTGTGGTTCAGTTACTGTTATCTAATCAGAGTCTGAAAATATTAAATAGAAAATTCCAGAAATAAACAATTCACAAGTTTTAAATTGTGTGCCACTCTAAGTAGTGTGATGAAATCTCACATCATCCCACTCCATCCCAACCGGGATGTGAATCATCCTTTTGTTCAATGTATCTATCCCATATACACTCCCACCATTAATCACTTAGTAGCCATGTTGGTTATCAGATCGACTGTCACAGTATCACAGTGATTGTGTTCAAGTAATCCTTATTTTACTTAATAACAGCCCCAAATCACAAGA